AGATAAAACCCACGCTAACACAGGTAGAACATGCAAGCTCCGCACAGAGATGCCAACTGACCCAGCCGGGACTCAAACCAGCAACCTTCTTGCTGTGAGCAACCACTCAGCCCCTGTGCTGCTCCTGAATTTCAGTTCATATATTTAATTTTCCTCACACTCTCTTCACATGAGAAAGGTCAATCTGAACTGACATCGTATGTATTCTTAGACTTCACATAAAGTTTGATGGCTGAGAAATGTTCCCGTTTAAATTTTCTGTCAATTTAGACCTTAACCAGCTTAGATTATATGGCTTGGTTCCAGGTCATGAAAGTGCTCCAGCAGCAACACTGTATGCAATTCAATCACTTTTTACAGCTTTTTAAATTTTAGCTAGATGAAAGAAAAATTAAACTCCGGAGAGTTCGCAGAAATAAGAGTGAAAGAGCGCGTTGCGTTCAATGTTGGCTGAAGGCACCAAAGGGTTCAGATGTTTGATCAGATGCTAATCAATTGGGAATGCAGCAGAGAGAGGCGTGAGCTCCATTGATTCTGCTCTTCTGCAGAGCACAGCCATCACACAGCGCTCGAATAAACAAATGACCACACCACTGGGGGTACTGTGTACTAGGACACAATGACACATTTCCAGCAGTTTCATCACTTTTTTTCTCAACTGTAGTCTAAGCAAAGCAACCTATGAAATAAGTTGTTTATAAAGAATAGCTACACAAAAGATGGTTACAGTAGTCAATTTATTCATGAATATGCAACTACAGTGCAACATTGCTGTCAGTTGTCAACTTTCTTTTTAAACATATCATGAAGTCTGACTTTTTGCTTGCTTTGTGTGCTACAATATGGTCTCTTGTGTATCTATACACTGGAAATGTGAAAATGGAATACCCAGTAACTTTGTTTTGGCGAGTTTTTCTCTGCAAACGTGGTGCAGTCAAGCTGTTCAGATTTCCATCACCTAGTGAAGTAACAAGGGATCTTATTTTATTTTTAGTTTGTTTAACCGCTTCTTAAACACCACTTTAAAAACAAATTTTGTTTTTATAAGTGATAACAGTATACAGGTTATAACACCATGAGACCAGAACTGCGGCATTATTTATTCCTGAAAACACTCAGCATCATTTATTATACACTATATTGTCAGGTGAGGGACTTTTCGCATTTTCTGTAAGGATAAAACAATTGTATTAATAGTGTAATGTTTATTAGCAAAGGACAGAACATCTGAACAGAGCTGTAACATGTAGTCAGTGAATAAGTCACTTAATCAAATACCTACATACATGTTGAGGGGGTTGTATCTCTTATTTTCACATCTCAATGTTGACAGATATGATCTGGTGTGTTAGAATAAAATTTTCTCTATCTTTTGGATAGAGCAACTCATTTGCATTCAAAGGGACACACGCTAAAGGTTAACTTATACTTCTGCGTCAAGCGCACGCATATGGTCCGGCGCAGTCTTCGCACGGTTGCACAGCCCTTGCTAATGCCGATGCTGATGTGCACCTCTCAAAAAATTTAACTACACTTAGCAATGACGTATAGCACAAGCTCTGTGATTGGTCAGCTGTGATGAGTGTGAGCAGTGCAGAGCTGCGAGCCCAATGGAGCAAATGTTTACAAGTGTAGAGTCATGTGAAGGAGCTCTAGATGGAATCTTATCTTTTGTGTTTACTTTATGATCTAAGTTGTTGCATATCCGCATGTTCCTGCCTCTGAATGAGCAAGTTTTAGCTACTTGTATGTTAGGATGTTAGGATTCAGAAAAAACAAAACACTCATGAAGAAATTCGACACAGTGGAACATTAAAACAAGCTAGTTTTTCAGAAGTGTTATTTCGAAGCAACACAAACAGCACGCAGAAGTATAAATGCATGACTATGCGCAAGGCTTGCGCTGTGGTCATGCCAATCACACAATGCAGAAGTATAAATCAGCCTTAAGGCTACGTTTACATGACAACAATGTTATTGTTTTTTTATTGCTCTTGTTGATTGTATGGTGTCCTTGAGTTGCCAGAAAGGCGCCTTTAAATAAAACGTATTATTACAATTATTAACAATGTAGCCTAAAAGTTAAATGTTTTTTAAAAATGTCACGTTTACAGTACATGACAATGTTTTCAAAATGATCCATGTTTACATATTCAAAAATGGGCAAAAACGCTGTATTTCAAATGTGAGGCCAATATTGGGTGCTGTCACCTTATTAGTAAAAATAACTATAAGGAAGTGATAGCAACGTGTGGTCAGCGGCTCGGTGCTGATGTGTATGTAGAATTTGCCATGTGTGTAACAGGAATAATTCACACTTTGCTGAGGCAGAAATATCAAACACTTGAGCAACAATAACACTACACATAACCCACCATTGTTGTTTGTTTGCACTTGCCTTTTACACCTCCCACAACACGCTTCCATGTATTTACATGAACTCGACAGCAGTGGTGTTTTTCAAAATTTTCAAATGTATGCATCATCAGTCCAAAAAACTCTGCTGTTATGTAAACGAACAGGCAAAATGCAAAAATATTTTCATTGACACTTTACTTGTTTCAAATCTTTATAAGATTTATCCTTCTGCCAAACACAAAAGAGATAGAAAAATGCTAAAAATCCTGTTACCATTGACTTTCATAGTATTTGTTTTTCCTACTATGGAAGTTAATGGTTAACGGCTTTCAGCTTTCTTTGAAATATCTTCTTTAGTGTTTTCTTTAGTGAAAGAAAATTGAGTGAGTAAATTGTGAGTAAATGTTCATTTTAGGATGATCTATCCCTTTAAAATGTGTTAAAGGGATGTGTTAAAATGTTTTTCTCAGATGGAAATGGAACACATTTGACAAGCTATATTAAACGTTATGTAACAACCTGTGATTTTGAGCTAAAACTTCACAGACACACCCTAAGGCTAATATACATGGATTTTATTTCATGAAAAAGGGCATATTATGTCCTCTTTAATCATTGTACGAGTGTAGAAAATGAGCTGAACTCATTCATTTAACCTTGTTTACTTGTTTCTGGTTCTAAAACTATATCAAAGAATTTCTTTTGATGTACATCTTGCAACTCGGTCAATGATTCAAGGACAATTTGTTCAGTTACTAAATAAAAGACACACAAAGTTTAGTAAAGAACACAATGGGTTTCATCTATCAAGCCCTCTCTAATACCCGAGGGAAAATACGAGCAACAGCAAACACTGACCTTTCCAGCCTACATCACGGAGGTGAGACTGAGGTGCTTCACAGCAACTTTGGTGATCCTTCTCTTTTAGAAGGTTAACGGAGGAAGTTGCCTGAAATTCACTGTCTATTTTAAATTATTCAAGTGTCGTTTTTTTTATAACAGAAGTGTCTGCATAAAGGCTGAGAGTAAATAGTTTTCTCACTTGTCCTGAGGCCAAGAGCTTATTTTGCATCTTTTTAGTAAGTCGAGTTGAACTGGCCTGCTTTTTAATGGTCTCAACTTTAGCTTATTTTTTAGCAGTTCTTTTTTTTTTTTTAAAGAAAACATGTATTAAAAAGGTTTTTACTGTTCTAAAATACAGTTTAACCTATAATTTTATGATGTATATGCACCACTTTGTGGGCAGAAAGATTTTGAATTATATTACTATTTTTTAAATATAAATTATTTTAGTTTGTTTTATTATATTTTGTTTATACTACAAAAATCTACAAAAATTATATCAAGAAGCATTTTATAGACAAACATAAATGTTGTCTTTTAAAAAAAAATTGTCAAAAATTTTTATATGTCAGAGTTTTTTCTTAAAACAAGCAAAAAACAAACAAAAAAAAAGATTCAATTCGTGTTTATTTCTATAGTGCTTTTACAATGTGGATTGTTTCAAAGCAGCTTAACATAGAAGTTCTAGTAAATTGAAACTTTGTCAGTCCAGTTTTCAGAGTTCAGTTTAGTTCAGTTCTTAGTGGTTTAATTTTTACTGCTAAAAGTCCAACCCTGAAGAGCAAATCCATCGATGTGCATCTCCACAAGTCCTAAAACATCTGCCAATGGGGTAGGGTAAATAATCTTGTCAAAGTGAAGACTAGAATATTTCGCTTACCCCATTGGCAGGTTATTTGCTTGTTTTAAGGAAAGACATTTTTGCTATTTTTTGCTTGTCTAGAAAATGCTTCTTGATTTAAAAATTGTTTGATATTTGAACTAAACAAGACAAAAGCTCTAAGAAAACCTTTAATTTTTGTTTTTTTGTTTTTTTGTTTTTATTACAATCTCCTCAACATATTAACCGTCATATCTGTGATTGATTATAAGCAGCAAATGTTCAGTACTCAGCAATTCAAGCCTTGCCATCAGAGAAATAAAATACATTTAAATATATTATAATTTCATATTAAAATTTATTTTATAATTGTTAATGTAATTTACAGTATTCAGGATTTGCAGCATTTTAATTATGGCTTTGGATGCATTTCCAGCCACAACCCAACACCAGGAAAATTATTTTATTTTTTATTTTATTTGTTTATTTATTTATTTATTTAATTTATCTTGTTTATCTAATGAGGTTGTAATTCATTCTAATAGAAATATTATCCTTCTGCAACCTATGCTTGGTCTACAACAATTTCACCTGCTGGAGCAATAAACAGAAAGTTTTTCAAATCTACTGAATGTTGTTTTAATACCTCAGCACTTTTTTATTTGTTCATCTGTAGTCTTTAGTAGTCCTAAAGGCAGAAAAGGAAATAAACAGATGTATTTTCTTTGCAGGGTCAGCAATAAACTCCTTTATTTAATTGTGCACTCTTGACATCTAAATGAAAATCTTGTGTGATTGCTGGAAATAAACAGCTGCAAATCACGCAGGATTTTAACACTTGATATTCTGATCGCTCTGATATCACCTGCAGTCCCGAACTTCAATAATATAGCAATTAGGTCATTATTAGGATGATTATTTTTTCATTTTACAGTATTCCTTACTTATACTCTGCCCTGTGTGTGTGTTATTGTTTCAGTGGCATCCCTGGGAAGAACTGCGGTACCATTATTCTCACTGCAGAGGAACTTGGAAACTGTCGGGTAAGTCAGCAGTTTTAAGGTACTTTATCCTCCACAGAATAGTTTTTACTCTGATATAATTGTTTTTTTTTTCTACACCCTTTTCTCTTCGAAATGCTTGCAACTATTCAGCAGCGAAAACCTTTACTGAAATGATTCACTTTGATAAGAAAGCTGACTGTTTTACTCTTGAGATCAGACCATTCATCGCCTGGCAGCTAAATACATTATTCCTGAGAAATGAACAGCGGTCTGAAATTTAAGTTATCTCCACAGACAAAAGGAAAACAACTTAAAAAGTCATTTTAACACCAAAGCTATTTTTTTATTTCCTTTTTTACTGGCAAAATATTTAAAGCATAAATAATGGAGCAACACAAGTTGTGGTATTTGTAGTCACAGGTTTACATCATTATTTAATACTTCTACCATGTATTATTGACCATCTTTTACACTGACCTTAACTATGTAAAGACTAGAATATGGGCTGAAGGAGCAGCAGTTGAAAAATGACAGACAGTTCAATAGCGAAGATCACTACTGCGATGCCTGCTGGGTGCGATAAAAGCTTTTGATCTATAAACAATCTATAATAAACAGGATAAAGTTCAGGATATAGTTCCTGCTATGCTACTTTATGGCCCGTTTCCACTAAGTGGTACAGAACGGTACGGGTAACCTTTATCAGGCTTGCGTTTCCACTGCCAAAAGGGTACCAGTGGTACTTTTTTGGTGGGTGTGGTGTACGACAGAAAGTTTTAGTTGACGCCAATCTCGCTCGAGGAAATGTCAAAGTAAAGCTGTACGGGTCGATATGTTACCAATTACAGAAAAACTACACACAGCACACCTTTAGTCCTTATTTGGGTTCAAAAACAACACGCAACATGTAGCCCAAAGTCAGTGCAAACCTCTCATTTATATCTTTAATTTTCGTTAGTTTTGTCGAGCCTCGCATTTGTCCATTTCTGAAAGGATTGAGTGTTAGAAGTAGTTCAATAATCACGCGCCCGTTATTATCATGAGCTCAAGAAGTTTGTTATTTCAAATATAGACGTGTGGCAAGTGCACAAGAACAAGAAACCGCTTGCGCTTTAAGAGGCCTCGCAAAAGAAAAACAGGGCAGATTTTGTTTTTCTTAGCTTTATGGCTGTTCATCAAGTCGACGACAAGGTTTGTCTGAGCTCGGGTCGACCATGGCTTTTTATTATATGTATATAGTATAAAAATGTAATGTCTCGGCTGTGTATTTAAAAATGGCGATTCCTTTGTTTTATTCTCCTTGCTTGTTTTTTTTTTTCAAAAATTTTTTTTACAGTTTTTTTTAAATTTCCCAAGTGCTGTTAACGAGTGTTTTTTTTTTAACATAAAACATTTATAGTTATTAGAGTAGTACTTAATATTTTACTAGTTATTTTGCAAGTCTTTAGCTGAAAGTGCAATTCCAAAGGTTTAACTAGGTTAAGTGGGTTAGCTAGGCAAGTTAGGTTAATCATTAATTTGTTTGAAAGCCAATCAAGATTAAAAAAAAATCTAAAGGGGTTGAATAATATTAATCAGTTTAATGATTTTTTTATAGACTAAAAGAAATAAAAATTTCTTCAGAAAATATGCTCTAATAAACATCACTTGATAAATGTGCTGCCTAGTTAAAACTGTAACTAGCAAAAATTGAGCGGTTGCACATATCAAATGAACAGGTTCAGTTTTTCTTACATTTTTGCACCTGCCATGTACTTTTAAAGCAGGAGTGTCCAAACTTGGTCTTGGATGTCCTGCATATTTTATTTCCAGCCCCAATTAAACACACCTGAACCAGCTAATCAAGCTTTCCTATGTATACCAGAAACTTCCAGGCAGGTGAGTTAAAGGAAGTTGAAACTAAACTGTGCAGGACACCGGCCCTCCAGGACTGAGTTTGGACACCCCTGTTTTAAAGCATTCAATCAAACCTGAAGCAAAATTTTATCTGATATCATCAGTTAAACCATTTAACCACAGTGCAAATAAACTGTCTACTCAATTTTACCAACACTAACCAAAAGCTGAACGTATGTAAGGTTTGTGTAAGAAGTAAAGATGGATTTCTTTGTAACAAGTTCTTTCTTTTAGGAAACAATACTTCTGAACTTTGAAAATTTGCTCGCAGGAATATTGCATGAGAGGTAATATTTGAAAAAGCATTATAGGGACACCTTAATATCAGTTCTTATCAGACAAAAAGATGATGAAATTGCCAACGTTTTCAATGATGCAATAACTGGTACCATAGCTTGAGTAAATACAGTCTGGGTTTCTTAAAATTTAAATGCATGAATATGGATATTATGGCCTCCTCACATAAATTCCATTTCAATAGTCCATTTCAAAAATATACTGTTAGGTGCTGATAATGTTCCATATGAACTCTCAAAGTGTCCTTAGAAGTTCTTTAGACACCTTTGTAACATACAATATTACTTTCTGCATTGATTGTCTGGCCCCAGTAAACAGGAGAGGATCATGCATCAGACATTAATAGTCTGCTTATGCATTTTAAATTTACTATGATGCAATTTTTTTTTGTTGGTGCATACCAAAGGCCCAGAGATGGTATCAGTGAAAAGCACTAAATGGAGATAATGGTAGGCTTCTCTTTTGCTGAAATTTTCTTAACACATTCAACATGGCTTATTATCGTTAACCATAGCCATAAAATGTAAATAATTTTTAGTTGTTTGAAAAAACAACAACTTTTAAATGAATAAATAAACATGAAAGAAAATAAAGACTAATACATTTGCATTAAAAATACAACAAATTTTCTTATCAGAGCAATATAACATAATATTACAGTATCGTTTTAATGTTAAATGTCTTATTTTTAATAATTCATTTGATTTTATATTGATTTAATTATTTAAGTCAATATCAATAAAAACAGCAAATGCACATTTCTTTAGATTTTTTTTATAACAACATCCCACCAGTGATGACACTTATTTACTTTTCATGAAATAATAAAATTTTGACTTCATTTCAAATGTAGCAGACATTAATTTAGGATTCACTTTGATGGATTGAGTCAGTTCATTCTCAATCAGTACAGAAAATGTCTTCGTGGGATTCATTAAAAGATTAAAGCGAGAATTGTTTTTAAATGCAGCCAACAAAGATAGTAGAACATGTTATAATTTCCAGTCCACAGCAATTTTATTTAACCACATTTCCCCTTTCATCTCATCCACAGCCAATGTAGATTTACTGGTGGAGGTCAGTGATCCTGAAAAAAACTTTACCATCCCTCCCATCTCTTTATCATGTCTTTTCTGTGAAATGTTCCTGTTTCGTTCTTCTGTCTAGTAAAGTTTATTCTGTCACCGGTGATAGTGCTCATTAAACAGCTGAAATAGCAGCGCAGAGTAAATTACAGCTTTTCCGGGTTGTAAATGGGCATGTTGCATTGACTACAGGCTCAAACACACACAAAGGACTGCTCATTTGAGAGATCTATTGCACGCGCTCACAGCCTCACTCAGGCTCATTTGAAATGCTCAAAAAGCTTTCCCCCTCTGTGATAGTAATATATTGCTCCATCTGCTTGATCTATATATATTTCACATGCTAGATCAAAAGATTTTACAGGATGTTATGAGAGGATGGTTTTTGATCAGGTGCATGCAAAAAAAATGGCTTTGAGGAAATGCGTCATGTGGAGATGAACCCTGTGTTTAATAGAAAGACCAATGTTTTGAAATATCTTGGAAAGTGTCTATGAAAATTCTGTTATTATTTACTCACCTTCACAAGGTTTCTGTAAGATCTTAAAAAGTCTTAAAATGCATAAGATCTCAAAACCAAAATTTTAGGCATAAAAAAGTTATACATTTACTGAAATATTGTGTTGGAGGTCTTAAATCCTAATTTTTCGTTGTTACTATATTGCTACTCAATCTGGCCAAACCCATACAGTCAATAAATCTCAATAAAACTTGGATACATGTAGAGCTTGCATGTTTTTTCTAAAAGATATGTAAAATATTTCAACTTTTTAAAAAAAATATTAATGTATGTTTGTATTATTAAATGTATTAAATTAATAAGATCTTTCCTATCTGGGCCATTTGAAAAAATCCTTAGCATTTAACCTTTTATGAGTCTAAAATTTCAGTCATAACGGTCTTAAAAATGTCTTTAAAAGTCTTAAGTTCAACTTTGTCATACCTGCAGAAACCCTGCTTCATGTCATTTCAAGCTCATGAGATTTTTGTTTATCTTCAGAACATAAATAAAGATTTTTTTTTTTCAAGTTGACTAGCCTTTCGTTATGTACTGTATGTGGCATACTGTTTATGACCATTATAATAACATTTTTTGATTGCAAAGCCATAACATGCATTCTTGATTGTTGATGGTTTTCCCTGTCGGAAAAAGATAAAATATTTTATTTTTACTGTTGATCAGTCGGCAGCATTAACCCTTTAGATATCTATCTGATATCTGTATCTGCATTTATTCTGAAGTATTTACTCTAATATTGTCTTTTATATGAAGTTCTATGGAGTAAAACAGATTTTAGTGTGTGCGCAGAAAAACACTTACTTTGTTCTGAGAGCTGAGCTTCTTATTTAAAATTTCTCAGACATATCAAGATAAGTATGCAAAGGTCTCTATCTCTCTCTCACACACACACACACACACACACACACACACACACACACACACATGCTCGCTATACTCCGTATAGAAGACTAAGCTTTTTTCGTGCACTGCAACTGATGATTAACGGTAAATTTTTTCCCATCAGGGAAAACCAGCAACAATCAAGAATGCATGGTTATGTGGTGTCAAGGCTTTACAAAAGATTTGACTATAATGGACGTCAATAGGGCAAAAACAGCCACAGACATCACAACAGGTAGTAAATTTGCCTAGAATGTGTTATTTGAAAGTTTTCAAAACATTTATCCAAACTATGTGTAAAAATAAGATTTATCACCCAAAAAATAATCTGTTTGGTTAAACACAGAAAGAGTTGTGGC